ACCCCCCTCCATATGTTCTGTTTGGCCATTTGGAGGCAGGCAATGGGGGAGGCTGGGTGGGTGGAGGCCAGAATGGGGGTCAGGACTACCGCAGCCCATTCTGACTGGAGAACCCCAAATTCCTGGACAAAGAAGAGCATCGACCTGCTCACAGTGGCTCTTAATGAACTCTGCCTCATTCACAAGGCCCTGGGGAGGTGTTTGAGAAGTGCTCTGAGCCGAGAGGCACAGGGCCTTGGGCCTTGCAGGACTCAGAAGCGCCAGGGAGAGCTGCCAAGGGCCAGGGCTGGGCGATGCTCTGAAGGCAGGCCCCGTCCCATGAGCAGGAGCCCCAGGCTTCCTAGCCCCTGTGCCTGGATAAGTAGGGTGGGGAGAAATCACGGGATAGAACTCTGGTCCTAGGCCTTGAAAATCCTTCTCTCCAGCCTTCACTTCACAGACAAGGAAACTGAGGCCACAGCTCAGGGCCCTGAAGCCAGTCATTATCACCAGCCCTGCCCTTGTGGCCAGGAGCAGCACTGCGCTGGCCCTTTATGGACACTGATAGAATCCTTAAAACCACTCTCCATTATGCCCATTTGATGGGTGAGGAGACTGAGATGCATAGAGACCCAGCAACTTGTCCAAGGTCACAGCAAGGTGGGGAGGGCAGCAGGCTGTCCACAGGGATGGGGTTTTTTGTGTACTTCTGACAACAACCTCCGCAGTGACCGAATTCTTTTTTGGGGGAGTGGAGGAGGGTCTCACTCTGTTACCCAGGCTGGAGTGCAGTGGCACAAACATAGCCCACTGCAGACTTGACCTCCCCGGTTCCAGTGATCTGCCCATGTTGCCCGAAAGTAGCTAGGACCCCAGGTGTGTGTCCCCGTGTCTGGCTAATTTTTGTGTTTTTTATAGAGATGGCATCTCACTGCGTTGTCCAAGCTGGTGTCAAACTCCTGGGCTCAAGCAATCTGCCCACCTCAGCCTCCCAAAGTGTAGGGATTACAGGCGTCAGCCACCATGCCCTGACACTCTCATTATTCTCATGGCCATTTTGCAGATGAGGAAACTAAGGCTCAGGGAGGTTAGAAGCAATTTGCTCACACAGAGCTGTGAGTGGCAGAGATCAGATTCTGCTTAAGAGTAGTGGAACTGTGGCCCGAGGAGCATTCAGCGACCCTTGAGGCACTGTCTAGCACGGCGGTCAGGGCATCTGACTCTCTGAAGGGCAGAAGTAAGCCACACATTTGATTAGGGCTCCAGTGTCTTCCTGGCCTGTAACATGGATAAGATGCCATGGTTTCCTCTTCCCTCTGGCAGAGGAGATAACCCTGCAGATGGTGACCCCACTCACCTGGGTCTTTCTCCATTTAGTCTCGTGTCTGGACTGAGCAGTCCTGTCTCTGTGTGCCTTGTTCCTACCCTCTCGAAAAAGCCCCACATTTCTCTCTTAAATCAGCTGTCATTCTGTTAGTTCCCTCATTAGGGAGTTCAGCAGAATCTTCACTGCACTCAGCATCTATTTGCAGAGTGGTGTTTGTAGAGTATCAGAATGATGCTTTGTCAATTCAAGCCAGATGTGCCCAACTGTGTGTAGCCTCTGGTCTCTGTTGCCTCTGTCAGGTGCCCCAGCCCCAGCCCTGGCCCCCTTCCTACACTGCACCCTAGTCTTGTATCTGGGGCCCCAGCTGGGGCACCCGCCCTGTGATAGGGTGAGTGGCCCAGAGCACAGGGCTGGCCCTCTCTTGATGTGAACTCCATGCTTTCATCTGGTACTAAATATGACTTTTCTTTTTGAGTTTGGGAAACAGCAAGAGAGATGCAAGACCTGAGCTGCAGGCTGCACTAAGGGGCTGGGAGACCATCTCTGTGACCCACCCCCTCACCTGCAGAGGGTAGCCTAGGGAAGCCTGGGGGAGCAGGGAGGAGACGGCCTGAGGAAAGCTGGTGTGGAGGGGAGATGGCCTAGGGGAGGCTAGTGGGGAGGAAGGGGAGAGGGCCTAGGGAAGGCTAGTGGGGAGGAGGGGGAGAGGGCCTAGGGAAGGCTAGTGGGGAGGAGGGGGAGAGGGCCTAGGGAAGGCTGTTTGGGAGGGGAGGAGAGGGCCTAGGGAAGGTTGGGTGGAGTGTTTCTCCTTTTCCCTTCTTCTCCCACCCTGGAGTGACTTCAGTCCCCTCCTCCCTCCAATTCAGGGACTTCTGCGAAGCCTGTGGTGATCTGAATTTGTCCTCTGGAGTTTGGGGGATGCTGGGCCAGCTGGGTCTGACCTACTCCTGGAGGTAGTGACTGTGGCAACACTGGCCAGCAGCCACCAGGGTGAGGACAGTGAACTAGACACCCACCCAGAGGCCATCATGGAACCAGAGGGGACACTCCAAGGGAATCCATCTTCAAAGTCCCATCATCCCCACAAGAAAGACCATCTGAAGAGAGGCAGCCTCAGCACCTGGGACACAGGCTGAGGGGCAGCAGGGGCAGCTGCCTTGGGCCAGTCTTTGAAGAGCATAGAGACTCCGGGACCTGCCCACACCCCATCACACCCCGCCTCCTCCTCCCTGACCCCCGCCAGGCTGCTCTGAGTGTCAGGAGGGAGTCCTGGAGTGAAGGAGGGGTACTGGGCTGGAAAGGATTCCCTCAGCACTTGCTGACACCTGCAAGGTGACCACAGGATCTGCAGAAAATTTAATGCAAATTGGCAGGGAAGAGCAGCCCCACCAAGTGGATTGAGAAGGTCAGAGGCCACAGTGCCTCAAGCTCCCTCCAGACAGTTCCACACCCTGGCAGCAGGCAGTGGTGTTTTCAGCAGCACCCACCTCATTCTCAGCTGCACCTCCAGGTCCACACCCAGCCAGCTCTCAGCCTCCTCAGCCCTGCTCCCAGAAAGCACCTCCCCTCCCCGGCTTGTTGAGAATCCCAGAACCAGCATTGCCAGAGCTGGGAGAAGCTCAGAGGTTGACCAACAAGCCCCAGCCCTGGGCCAGGAGAGACACCTAGGGCCCAGACAGGGCTAGCCCGCCACTCTTGCCCTCCCTGCCTTGTTCTGAACTGGGGCTCAGTGGCCACCTTGGGAATAGCCCTCCTGTCCTCTTAATCCGGTACAGGGCTTATGTCTCACTCTCCCTAAGGAAGGCAAGGGACATGGGCAGAGACAGACAGCAGCAGAATGAGGGAGAGCACCATGAGCCCAAGCGCCTATGAGGCAGGAAAAAGGTATGACACAGGCGCCCAGAGGAGCTAGCTCCAGGCAACGAGGACTCTTGTTTATGGCAACACCATGCAAATAAACTGGCCCTCTGGGCCACCCAGTGGAGGAGGGCAATGTCACTGTGGCCCCAGGGGAAGATGAGGAGCCAGGCCAAGGCGGCAGGAGGGATGCTCAGGTCACTAGCCAGGAGGAGAGAGGAGGATGCCCAGCTAGGAGGGTCATGCCCAGCGGGTCGGTGACCCCAGGCATATTCCTCTTCCCTAGGGCCTGGCCTCCCAGTTTCTCTCCTCACAGAGAAGCAGTCCACTGTCTCCAAAGTTCTCTTTTTCCCCAAAAACACTTCCTGGGGAAGGGGAGGGCTTGGGAGCCGAGGCACCGCTAAGCATTCCCCTGTCTTCTGAAAAACCGGAAGGCCCAGGATCCCTGGACTCCCTGAGTCCCCACCCAGAGCTCCCGAGCTTGCCACACGGGGCTAGACTCAGTGCCGCTCCACACAGCCTCCCACAGCAGGGTCCGGCGCCCCCTCCCACAGCCTCCCACAGTGGGGCCCGCCTTCCTCCTGCAGATCCGCGCTGCTTTATGGTACTCCAAGCCCGTTATTCTGCTGCTTTGGGGATGAGTGAGGCTATGCTCAATCTTACCTTTGCACACTTCTCGAAATGTTATGCATTAATTCTCCAGGCATTTGTGTGTCAGGCTCTGTGCTAGGCGCTCAGGAAAGGGCAGGGACAAGACGGGGGCTGAGACCCCCACCCCTGGAAAGGTTGTGGCAGCCCAGCCCCGCCAGCTGCTATGGTGACCTCTTGGCATGGGGGAAGCATCTCCTGCCAACAGGGGCAGCTGGCAGCACCGGGTCCTGGATTTACACGTCATGTATCTACGCCAGCTTATCTTCCCTTTCGGGACTTCATTTTCTCTCTCTTTGGAAACCACTTGACTTCTTTCACCTACTTTCCTCCACAGCTCCCCAGCACTTGCTCAGCGCTCCAAGCTGCTGATGGTCACTCCTTTCAGAGTCTGAAGCTCCTGATACCAGCCCTTCCCCAGGGTCCTTCACAGCAAATGCCAGATCCCTACACACAGGACGCCGCCCCGGGCTCTGCCTCGTGGTCCCCACAGCCGAGCTTTGGTCTTGGTCCTGTTCAACCCTGGGTGCAGGAAGAGGAGCTGGAGCCAAAGTGGTGGGGCACTGGCTGGCTGTGGATCACCTGCCTCCCAGGCTCCCCACAGGCCTGGGCCCAGGATCACACACTCAGGAAGCCCCCTACATCCCTGCCGAGGCCTCCAGGTTTTGCTTTGGTTTCGCGGGTTTTGGGAGGCAGCCGTCATTAACTGACTGAGCACTTTCTCTATTGAGGTCTCAGTACAGACTTGACCATTTTTGTTAACCTCATCACAGACACCCTTCTGCCTTTGAAAGAAGAGGAGAGGGTCTCCAGTGAGGGAGGCAGGAAGGGAGGGCCTGGGCAGTGGAGTTGGTGTACACGGGCTGGCTGTTGGGGGGCTGGCTTGAGAGCCGCCCCACCCCCTCCCTCCCCCAGGCTGGGCCTGAGTCTGCACACCCCACAGAGAAGCCGGCCCCTCCCCATTTGCTCTCCCTCCCTGGACCCAGGAGTGGGGGAGCCCAGGCTTGGCATTCACTGTCCCCAGGTCACAGTGAGGATGGGTGAGCTGCAAGACTGTGGTCCTTTCTGGTCCTGCTCCCAGGGCCACTGCCCACTCTCCCCAACCCTTGCCCTACATGAGGGGCTCAGTCCTTGGCTCAAAGCTGCCTCTTCTGCAGCCCCATCCCAGCCCCACCAAAGCAGCCCTTACCTCGAGCCAGGTTCCCAGAGATAAAGCAGAAGAAGATGCTGATGATGCTGCCCAGGTGCTTCCCACAGCTGTGCTGGCACTCCTGCAGCCTCGGGCCAGGGCTGTGCCCTGCCATCCTTGGGCCCGGCTTGATATGCCCAGCTTCTGCCCTGGGCTCTGCCCTGCCTGCCACTGTGTGGGCGGCACCCCCACAGCCTGCTTCCCCACCTCCTCTGCCAGCCCCTCCTCAGCCTGACACTCAGTGCCTTTCCTTTTCTAGGACTCCCCTCTCCTGGTCCATCTGTGTCTGTCTCTCAAACACAGCGTTTATCCTCTTGGTCTTGGCTTGTCCCCAGTGTCTTGGCCTCTCTGGGCCTGTCCTTCTCTCCTGTGCTCTCTGTCCCTGCCTCTGGCTCTCCCAGCCTTTCTGGGAACTGCCTGCCCCTCAGCCCTCAGCCCTCAGCCTAGAGCCCCAGGGCAGCCAGAGTGCCTTAGCCCTGGTGTCTTGGTCTGCCTCCTCATGTAGCCCCAACCCTGTCCCTGCTGCAGGCCAGCCCCTTCACCAGGCCCCCAGAACTCACTGTTCCCAGAGGCAGAAGGGCTCCAGTGGCTCCCTGGGCTGGGAGGAGTGGGGACAGGGTGGGTATCGCTCCTGAGCTCCCAGCACCAACTGAGGAGGTGGCACTGGTGTGATTATCAGCTGAGGGTGTCATCTCACTGCAGAGGGGCCTCACCCAGGCCCCAGAGCTTCTCTGCAGCCAGAAAGGGACCAACCTGCTCCCACACAGTCCCTGACTAGGAGGCTTGGGGCCAGGGTCCCTGAGCAGAACGGGGGTATTGGTAGGGCTCTGGCCTTTTGCTGTCTCTTGACCTCTGACCTCTACCCACTGGCATCCCTCAGCCCTGCTGTGTCTCTCTAAAGTGCAGAAGGGGAGGTAGGAAGGGGTTCCTCTGCTCAGGAGGATAAAGAAGAGCTAAATACGTGGCTGGAGCTGACCAACCCCCTGCCCTCCATATTTTTTAGCACCTAGAAATAAATAAAAGCAATAACAGCCAGGAAGCTTGCTAAGGTCTTTCTGGGTGCCAGTGAGTGCCTTCAATTGTCAAAACTACCCTGCAAGCTACGTGTGGCTGAGAATGCCAGTTCTGTATTCATTTTTCCTGCATTTCACCAGTAGAGTTCAGACGCTGCTGGGGATGGAAATGCACCCAGCTGAAAACGCCACCATTCTCCTGCCTTCCTTGCACTTAGGGCAGCTTAGCTCTTGACAGTGGAATGGAAGCATCCTTCTTCTGGAGACTTCTGTGAGTGTAGCCTTCCTGACATGGGGGCCACCACTCTCCCCTTCCATCTGGGTTCTCTTTCCTCTTGCCTAAAACGAGGCTGTGTGGGCTGCAAAGCAACCACCTTGCCACAGCGAAGGGAACGGCAAAAGAACCAAAGACGTTGACGCTGACATCCCTCAGCTGCCAAACGAGTTCCAGCCACTGCCTCGCCCCACATATCCCATATAGGAGCTGATGCACCTGTCTTGATTAAGCCACTGTTGCTTGTGGTTTCTGTTATATGCAAGTGCAGACAAGCCACCCGATCCCCTGCAGAGGGAAAGAGGAGTTGCTGCGCCTCAAACCCCTGCCAGTAAAGGAAGGTGCAGTGCCTGGCGGCCCTTCTGTGTACAGCAGTTAAGTGTTACTCACAGGCTGTGCTGCAGGTGGAGGCCGAGTACAAGCAGCACTGCTCCTCGGACCTAATGACCCAGCGCATTCAATGACACACGATGAGTCTAAGGCAAGTTGGGACGCTCTGTGGGGCCATAGCAGGCCCCCAGAGGGGAAATCTGTGGTCTCTAGGGTTTTGAGCAATGCCAAAAATCTCTCCTGTTGGCATTCAGCTAACTGCCCACTGCTAGGCTGCCAGGGAAGTGCCAATGGTAGGATGCCAGGTGGCCATGAGCACCCACCAGGAACAGGTATCAACCTCACCCAGCCCTGCTGGCATGTGCATGTGCACAGAGCACTCCTTTGTGAGGTCCAAGTGCTGTGGATGGGGCCCGAGGCAGGGCGGGTCTGGAGGGCTGGGGGAGGCTCTACCTGTAGGCCCACGACTCCCACAGTACCTGCTACACTGCCACCTTCCCCACAGCCCACCCACCCCCCATGGTCTCCAAGTCCATTTGAGAAGGAAAAACATTCAGAGGGGACTTATAGACAGAATTGCAAGAAACATTGGCACCAACTCTAGGTGACATTGAAGCCCAGCCAGGGAAAGTACATGGAGAAGGGACATCTTCCTGGTACTGCCCACGTTGTCTGAAGAAGAGAGGGCCCGAGGCACAGGCTTACGTTGATTCATGGGCGGTTGTTAACTATTTGTTCAGGGTCAGGGGGGTAGAGGGGCAGGATCAGGGGAGTAAGGTCTGGGGGCCCGGGGAGGAACCACCCAGAGTGTGGGACAGCAAGTGCTTCAAAAGTGCCCTCCAAGGGGTGCTGAGGCCAAGGAGGTGCTGGCTGATCAGGTGGGCCAATGGTCCCCTCTGTGCACCTCACAGCCTCTGTTCCTGGCCCCTCTGGCATTTGCTGGTGAACAAAACACCATGGGTTCAATAAAAGAACTTCTCCCTGGGCTGATCAGGCTGCAGCTGTGGTTCAACGCCCAGCCAGCCACCAGGTGGCAGATCAGCCACTCTGCATCCCTGCTGTCACTCCAGGGCTCCCATTGTCCTCATGGAGTGATGATCACTCTGTGTATGACCTTCCCTCTGGCCTGTCCTGGTGCTGCCAGCATGCCCCATCATGGTGCCCCCACACCATAGTTTTTGAGTAACAGTCTCATTTCACCTTGGTGCAGTGTGGCCAAAGGCCAGGGCTCATAGGCTCCTGTCCCCACCCTGTGCCCACCCCCAGAGGCAGCTGACCTCACAGGACAGTGGTGAGACCTGCTGAAGATGGGTTCCGGTGCCAGCTGAGGGTTCCATGGCTGCCCTGTCAGGCCCCAGTGATGCTGCTGGATGTGCCTGCCTCTCCCCTGGCCAGAAGAAAAAGCCTGGAGCTGGGAGGCATGTGGAGGCCCCTCCCTTGTCCAGTATCCACTCACCGCACCTCTGCTGCTCCTTTCCAATATTCTAGGCTCTGGATAAGAGGTTTTAGGGTCCCCAGCGGGAGGCAGCAGGAGGTCTGCTGAACTGGAAGCTGGGACAGCTGCCTGGCCATGCTGGACCCCTCACACCACTCAGACCAACTGGCATCAAGGGCCGTTGAATGACCCTATTATCAAGGGGAACAGTGAGGACTCTACCTCAGATCCAGTGAATTCTCCAGGGAGCCTAGCAATGCTGCTGCCAATTACAAATGAAAGTCTGTGGGGGCGTCTAGCAAACCCACTGAGGCAGGACCACCAAGGACTCGGATCCCTCAGGAATGGGGGTTTGGATCATTCCACCAAGGACTCAGCCAAGGCCCTTGTGGTGGATTAAAGACGGCCACAGATGTTGTACTACAACCACCATGCAAAGGGGTTACTTTGCGGAAACCCTTGAAAGTTTGCACTAATCTGATGTCTCACTTTGATGCCATGTATCTTGATGCCTCACGATGTCGATTGTATCTTGTATCTTCAAAAATACAAAAATTCTGTGACCACATGTTTTTCTATCTTTGTGTATTAAAGATGAGTTAATTCACCTTTTGTTCCCATAGCGTTCTGCTACCCCTTTTTACCAGGAGCACTGGTGGTGGTGACTTTATGATTTTATGTGCAGTTACCATGGAACCCCAGGAGAATGAACAGCGACTGAGGAGGATGTGGGTCTTCCCTTAGTGGGAGAGGCATGTGCATGCATGTGTGTGCATGGTAAGTGTGTGTGCTCATGTGTGCATGTGTGTGCATGGGGGAGTGTGTGGGTGTGTGGTTGCATGTGTGTGTGTGTGTGCGTGGGTGTGTATGCTCCTGTGTGTGTGCGTGGGTGTCTGTGCTCTGTGTGTGTGTGCATGTGTATGTGCGTGTGTGAAGAATGGCTATGCCGTGTCACACAGAAGCATTCCTGCCAGAGTGGTCCAGGATAGCAGGCATCTCCTGAGGCAGCAGGGGCCCTGGCTGTGTCCCATCCAGGCCTCCATTTCTGGTCCTCCAGAGTTTCCCTGAACTTCCCGAGATCTAGAGCAGATGCTCCGCTTAAACCAGCTCACCTGGGTTCAATTGTCTGCAGCCGGGCCCCCAGGTTATCTATGGGGGATATTATTATTCCAGTTAAAGAAACCCAAGTCCCACAGCCCTTGTGGGCACCAGACTTGAGAAACAGGTCTGTCCAGTTGTGGCACTGGCCATGCCACTGGAGAGGTGGCCTGCAGGGAGGGACTTTAGATGCAGGGGAGACATGGGTGGGGTGGGTGGCAGGCCGGAGTCCCAGCTTCTGGGTCACAGAGGAGGGTCCAAGGAGCTGAGGATGGGGCACTTCTCCTTGATAGGGCGGGGCCAGGCTGCCTGTGCTCTGAGTCTACTGGCTCCCCTAGTAGAGGTCCTGATGCTGCCCACCTCCATCCTGGGGTCACCCAGGGCCCAGCCACAGATGCTCCAGCCCTTGCACAGTGTCTCCAGACCCCTGTGTCCTGCCTGCTCCTGGCTGACATTCTACCTCGCCCAAGCCTTGGGGACTCCGGAGCTGGGTCTTGGCTTTCACTCCCAGCTGTTCCCAACATGTGTCTCTGGCCCCGATTCTGCTGAATGGAAAAACCCCAGTACAAGGGCACAGTGTGTGTGTCCGCTCCCACAGGCCCCCAGAGCTCAGGACACTATGCTGGGCCTTGAAGAGCACACAGCCGGGGTGCACTGAGTGGACCATTGTTCTTTGCACCCAGAGCCTACAAAGGCTCCCAAAGAGCCGGGGTGCCTCATCTGCACATGGCATAGCATTTCACACATGCACAAAGCCCTCAGTGTGACCACACAAACCTGGCCTCCTTGCGGGACACACATGAGATGTGATTGGACTGAAGAGAGGCCATCCAGGAGCTATGCCCAAGGGAGACAAAGGGCACATCGGAGTCCCAGCTCCTCTGTTCCTGAGGTCCCTGGGCTCCCTCCTCCCTCAGCTCCCACCAAAGATGCCCATCAGGGCTCTGGACCCCAGCCCTCTCCCACCCCAAACCCTAGTGCCATCTGCTGAGTCATTTGACCTCTGAGCTGCTGCCGTGGACGCTTCGGTAAAACTGAGTGATGAGCTCTACACTGTCTCCCTCTCGCAACCAAACAGGTTCACGTCTGCTCCCAGTGCCTGCACAAGGTCTGGCAAACATGCCCACCCCGGGGAACAAACCCATCGCTGGTGCCCTGGCCCTGCCATGGCCCTTCCTCTCCTGTGTGCCTTCTACAAATTGTTCAGCAAATGTGTCCTGATAGCTGGGAGTAGAAAGGCCCTGCCCTCTAGGAAGCTGCCCTGAGCTGGGGGTAGGGCACACAGGGGTGGGCCGTGTAAGGGTGGTCCCCTTGCCCTGGCTTGAACATGCCATGCTGGCTCCTGGCTCGCCTTTCTCCTGGACCACCCCATTCAGCACAGCTGCTGCTATCACAGGTGTGCAGAAAGCCTTGGTGAAGGGTGCACATCAGCCCCAGCCCGTCCTGAGCCACCTCTGCCTGCCAGAGAGAGATGGATGAGGCTGAGCATCGGCAAGACCTGAGGAACAGAGAGTTCCTCTGCAGCACCCCCTTAATTACTTGTCGCCACCAAGAAAACCCTGGAAGACTGAGGTGGAGGAAATCTGAGTCTCGAGCGACACAAAGCTGCACTCGCCAGAGTGGACCTGAGCCCCCCGCCCATGCAATGACCACTGTGCCCTCGCTCCTACCCTAAGGGAAAACAGACGAATTTTCATCCTGATGCAGAACAAACAGTGCACTGAAGGTGGCTCTCCCAGTCATGCTATGTGCTTGTGCTTCTAGTGACCTTATCATATTTCTGCCACTTGCAAAACCTACCACCCCACCCCCGAGAAGTCGAAGGTGCACATGAATCTCACCCAGGCATTCATAAGTGCTAGCGCTTCCATGGGAAGGGGTTGGGGACAAGTGTCAGCCAAGCTGACAGCATCACAGATGGGTAGGGGCTCTGTGGGGAAGCAGAGGTGGTGGACCAAAAAGGGAGGGGGCTGGAATCACCCTGGAGTGACGTTTGTGGGTAAAGAATGGGGACCTGGTGCATGGACCTCTGGCCATGGCTGCTAGCCACTGTGCCTGCTGTTTGCCCAGACCCCTCGGGTGATCCCTTCCACGCATGACCCCCATCAAGCTTGGGAGGCTGGGACACCGACTGTACCCATTCTCCTGGCCGGGGGACTGAGGATCCCTGGAAATCACACAGCTAGAGATGCAGCTTGTTCGCTGTCTTGTTAAGGGCAAGTCTGTACCTTCTCCTTAAAGTCAGAGGCAAACTCTTACACATGCCATACTCACACATGTGATCCCATGAGTGTGCATGGTGTGTGTGAGAGCATGCAAATGTGTATGGTATGCCTACCTGTGTGGGCATAGTGAGTGTGCAAGCTCGAGTGT